AAAACATTATGGTCTCTTGGAATGCATACCTTCTTCATGGCAATTCTTGCATGAATCAGGGGGCTTCGTGGGACAATCCTTGGCCATATGGCCCTGCTGCTGGCAGAAGTGGCACTCGCCAGCGAACTCGCGAGGAGGCGCCGTGGGGCAATCTCGAATCATATGTCCCTCCTCGTTACAATGGTTGCACTTGATAACCCGAGGGTTTGTGCACTCGGTTTTGTTGTGGCTGGGCCAGAGGGTTAGTTGCGTACCACTCCCATTGACTTGGTGATTCAAGGTTAGACTTACCCATCTTGACCACAGTTAAAACACGCTCCATGGTTGCCATCACCACCTCCCATGCCACCGCCAGCGTTGAAGCCCACAGGCGCTTCTCTGTCATTAAACCCACCAGGATGCATGTTCTCGTCGTTGGCAGGCTTGGAAAAACCATCCTGAGCAGGAGTATCGTTCCACTGGTCGGCGCCACCGCCCGCACCCCAGTCATCCGTCGCCGCAGGTTGACCCCAGTCAGACATGGCGTGTAGTAATAATACCTATATGTGAGACCAAGTAGTTAGTTACTATTGAACTTCTTTTTTGTTCGTTTAGAAAGGAAGCGTAGAGTGTGGGAGTAAGTGTGGGCGGGGTTCGTAGATGACTTGGTAGAGGGCTAAGGCAAAAGTACACTTCGGTTGTTGAGGATGGCCCGTGGCAGTAGAAGGAGAAAGATGCCGGTATATTACGCAGCCGATAGTCTGAATAATGCGCGCGCCAAAGCGTGGAAAGGCAAACGAAAGAAAATAAATGCAAGCCTAGTGGTGGTTCCAGGATTGGCTTGATTCCAACGTTCGTCCTTCGGTGGACGGGTGCGGTGCCGAGAAATATGTATTCGCAGCCAACACGCGTATTTTGAAACGAAAAACAGCAGTGGCTGTGGAACGAAAAAAGAAGCAGGGGAATTTTCAATTAAGCAGTGAGTGTAAACATGGAATTTGCAGCAACTCCCACCGCTTAATTTGTACTTGGGAACAGGCCGCGCAGTGTACGCATCGGAAAGGAATTGAAAGTGAAGAACTTACGGTATGAGCGTTTTGGAAGTCCTCAGTGAGTTGGGGATGGTCTTGGAGCTGCGCGAATCTTATAGTCACTTAGATATTCCCAGCTGTTGTGAGGCAGTCAGAGGAAAGTCCAAGGGACGCAAAGTTGTAGATGGGAGAAGAGAACTTGGTGCCCATCTAATGTTGGAGGAAGTAAAGAGGTGGAATGGTCAACTTGGGACGTGGGGTAGATTTAGGGTAGGGAATGTGTGACATATGCTAAGAAAGGTGAGGTAGGAACAGAAGACGTCGAGCAGGTGCTCCCCAAATGTACATACCTTTTCCAAGTACTTATTGGATATTTTGACTAGAGGCACCTAAACAAGGTACGGAAGAGGGATCAGAGAGTGAGAGAGAACTGGAGTCTCTATGGAAGCTGTCCTGTATGGTATCTCCAGATTGTTGTCTAGACACTGAATGATGGTGGTAAGGTAAAGTAAAGTAGTTTGGCCGTCAAAGAGGGTACCTTATGTAGCAGCATACGACCTTAAAAACGGGTCGGGAAGGTACAACAGTCAAATGATGACCACATACAAGAGCATGGTATAAATGTACACAAAGGTACCTTGGAAATCGTCGAGGGTATTGCAGAGTCTATGAATATAATGGGTCTGAATATCCAGAGGGTAGATAGTCCTGGAGGAAGTGTCCCAATCCTGACTATTTGTCAAGTAATAATCAGGCCCTGATTTAGTTTACACCTACTCCTAGGTTGACATGTCAATGGGACTATGGGTAGGAGTAGGAGCCGGAGAGACTCATTCTAATCCAGTGACGTGGGACAAGGAAGATGGGGCAGCTAAGCGCTTGGGAGCTTGTGAGAGGTGTCCAGGAATACATGTGTTCAACCTTGGTCTGGCCATTCGCCTGAGTAGGTCGATAGCTTGTTTACGGAGCAGAGGGCATTAACTGCCTACTGGATTTGTTCAGATACTTGAACGTGATGATTTTAACTACTCTCCCCGTTGTGGATGGGTCGGTAGCTAGCTAAATGTATAGCAAATAACAGTCTTTCTTAGAAAAAGAACTTCATATCAAGCTTAAGGGACGACCCTGAAGTGAAACCGAGCATCTCGGTGTTCAGTTCTTACTCCCACACGGCCCTCAAGAACAAGGGTCACAAGTGGTGATTGGGCCCTGGGACAATTGCTGTGAATGAATATTACTTGCACTTCACAGTAAAGCAGATACATCCTGCTGTAAATGGCTTTGTCCCGACAACTGTAATCTTTTCTCTTTCTTTCCAATTCACTTGTGTTGTAAGGGACGTAGCATGCCTCCTTCAATTTTGAAAGGTGTGTTCTAATAGCCTAGGAATTCCATCAGTAGGGCAAGCCGGGACATGGTACGCCATGTGACAACAAGTATTATTCCTGATTGTGCTGGTACTTGCTAGTACCTTGCAAGTATTTCTTCAAGTAAGTAGGCTACCGTCCTACTACTACACTAGATATGTATCCAATGATTAGATATTAGGGTCCTTAAGAGGTTGAGGGAAAACCGGTGGTGTTTTGTTAATTTTGTTACATAGCAGTTTACAATGTAGTTGTGTAGACCACGTGATTCGGCCTCGGGCCGTGTCCGGATCATGATGGTCATTGATCAATGGCAGCATTACAATGCTGTATTTCTTCCTGCTCCGATTGTCCTGTCAATGCACAATCGGTCATGTACAACGCCGGCCTGCCGCTTTTAGTGGGGCAGCCATTTACCACATAAGGGGCCCACAATTAATGTGCCCACACCAGGGTTAAGTACAAGCACATAACACCATCATGATAGCATGTGCCGTTGCTATATTTGCTGGTTGTCTAAGTTTAATGTCACAAAGCGCTGCTTACGCAGTTTTATAGAGATATGGATTATTTGCGCCTTTGTTTCAAAGTTGACGCAACGACGCCCAGGACCTACAAAATCAACATCTTCCACATCATCCCGTTTTCGTCCCTAAAATGCTACCTACCTAAATTTCAAGTTGTATTCTCTACAAATATCCAACACACTATGAGACAATCAAAAAGCGGAATATAGGTAGATAGACGGCTAGTAATGAGAAGCGCGCTAATCCCCACCTGCTATTCAAGGTTTCACGTGTAGGTGAATATTGAGAAATATTGAATTCTACAGCATCTACTGAGCATAAAGGCACTTGTAAAAACTGTCAGGTAAAATACCTTATAGAAATAACTGGCTGGCATCTGCTACCACCAATCCATCCACTCAGCACTGGAGGGAAGAGCAGCCGAGTGGATACAAGATGGTATGCATACAAGTAACTATACACTTCTAAGACTATGTCCGTCTTAGACGAATCCGAGAAACATGTTCCCAATGCAACTACAGCGTCGGAGGAAGTATTTATGGGTGAAAACAACCTGTGTGAGCATCTAACAGATATACAATATCTGTCTGGACGGAGGTCTTACTTTACAATGTTGATAGCTGATCGCTTTTGCTTCCAGGATAGGCCTCATCAACTTCGATATCGCCATTATCAGCACAGCACCCGTGCCCTTCACGGACGCGACCCTGGTCACCCAAGCCGGGCTGTCACGGTGTATCTGTCCACTTACACATCTAAGCAACATCCATTATGGCTTGAGTTGGGACTTAACGTTGATATCCTTGCCAGCTACATTTGCTACCTAGCTTCATCGCCCTACCTACCTCGCGACTGGTCGCGGGCATCAGCAGTCAAGGCCGGGACCCAAATCAATCGACTTTAGCCGAATGACACTCATGGTATCTGCATTGGCTCTGCTCATCACTGGTCCCTAACAGAGCTCTACACTATTGTCTTGGACCGAGCCCAGTGTCCCGGCCCCTTAATTCATCTGGACCCCCGTCTGGGTAGCATTCCTAGCAAGCCAGTGGTATACTACCCAGTCGTGGAGGAAGTGCTGTTCAACCGGTGTTTCCCTTGGCGCTTTTATCGTGGTCGGTTACTTGATATTATAAGACTCTTGCTGTATGTTCAATCCAATCTTTTGATGTGGCCCTCCCATGCATCATTGCCGGTTAACTCGACCCTAAAAATGTATTCACCAGCGGCAACGTTGACATCATCCGTATCATCCAGCTCGCCGTTCCATGACAAACTGCCGTCAGTGCGACCCCTTTGGACTCGGGCGTCAGGCTATCTACCTACTTGCTTTCTCCATAGCTGCACCTTTTGGATTAATCGTAAATGTCCATCATAGTAAAAAACCGTGGCGCGCCTCCGATCTTCATCATGTCCTGTTCTAGTCGGTAGACCTCATTATCGCGCTCCCTCCATCTAAGTATGCAATCAATCGTAAAGGGGGGAGTTGGTCCTCGGGTTCAACTTATAGATGGAAGTCGTTTATCCAATCCTACAGGCGTACCACGATTATGAGATATAAAGGCAGTCAGTCGACAATCTCTTTTGAAATAGTGATTGGTATATAGACTTGACTCTTCTGTTACTCCGGTAATATGGTCTGATCTATACGTGGACGCGGCGTGAAAAAGGAATTGTAAAAAAAGAAAAGAGGGGAAAAAAACGTACAACACCAGGGATTCGCTGGTCGTCACCGACCCAACTACTGATCTGGCGGTATGTAGCTTAGCTATGGGGGAGCGGACGGGACCCCGCGTTCTCTACATCCTATGGTCGTACGTGCTATACCGATCATCATTTACAGTATATAAGGGAAAATATGGTAGAACATGACTCTTTAATATGGATGTAGGTAGATAGTACACAAACAGATCTCTCTCTCTCTCTACGATAGCTAAAAGAAGACCACCGTGTAAACGTAGGTTGCTAAAACATGTCATCAACTAATTGAGCGCTCTACAGGCAATGTTGTCTAGCGTTTTGTTCCTATCCTAAACCTGCACACAAAAAAAAAAAAAAAAGAGAAAAAAAAACAGTGGGAGTAGTCAGCAAAAATTTGACCTCGCTGGGGGTCGAACCCAGAATCTCCTGATAACTGAACAATTGAATTCAATCGATCTCGTAGTCAGACGCCTTGCCATTGGGCCACAAGGCCTAGATGGTGGATCTGCGGCATTTTGGAGCTTACGTAGCCGGTAGCGGGTATCGACAAACACGGTTGAACTTGTAGAGATGGTAAGAATAGGCTAGATGAGGCAAATGAAGCATGATCTCGAACGACTAGAGATTAGGATACATAAGTGTAGAGTGCATGCAATGTGACAATAAATGCCTTGCTGGACTTGGGACTGGTGTACGTGTACAGGCAGGTCATTGGTTCTGGGTTTTTCTTACCTTACCTACCCACTAATTCAAGGGTAGCCTTGTCGAAAAGGGATTAACAAGAAGTATTAAACACACGTCTAGCCTGGCTTACAAGGGGGTAGAGACGTAGGACTGTTCACCTGGACTGTCTTCAGGCTGGGATTGTCCTATCAAAGTCAGGCGTTGTGCATGTTTTATCTTAGGCTGCTGTGCTCAATCAGGTATGGAAATGCACAAGTAAGGCTCTATCTTTGTTGCGGTACATAGGATCACTGGTATGGAAATAGCTTGGGGTTTGTTCCTTGTTCAATCACTAACCTTGACAGATTACAATATTGACCTGGCTAACCAGGCTGTTGTAAGCTTTTATTGGCCATGTATATTTGCCTTGCCTTATAAGGTGGACCTAGATACCAAGCGTCGAGCGTCGAGGGTCGAGCGTCGAGGGTGGTGTTATCATAACTATCCAAGCTCCTCTAACCTGTCCTTGAGGAAATTTGCAAAAAGGTCTAGAGACCGGTTAATAGTGATCCTAAAAACCGGCCCTCAAGCCAACGTCGACAGTGCAGACCTTGATTACCATCCCCTACCCCTTAGCAAGACGCACCTCTTAGCAAGATAGGTAAACTTATACAAAAGTTACCTATTTTAAAAATTAATTATATAGCAACTAAAAAGTCTTATATAAAGCTAAATATAGCATATTATAAAAAAATAGCAAGCTAATTTAAAAATCTATTTAGTTTTCTTATTTAGCGCCTAGATTATATTAATATATTAGCTTATAGTTAAAGCATTTTTTTAATATTTTAATTATTGCTTTTATTATTACTTATTTTTTTTAACTTGCTTATATTTACTTTAAAAAACTTTTTTATAATAAGGGAAGCTTTTATAAGCACTTTTACTATAGTTTTAAAGCGCTTATTAAAATTAAATATTTTTTTTTTTTTAAAGCGCATATAGTTAATTTAAGCTTTAAAGGCCTAAATCTGTTAGTTTTAAGTTGCTACCTTAGCTTACATCTTATTAAATACTATAAAAACCTTTTATATATACTTTTAAGTTTATAAACTTTTATTTTTAGCTAAAGCTTTTACTTTATAGCTATTTTTTAATATTAAAAGTATAGCTTTATAGCTAAAAGCTTAATTAACTAGCTTAAAGGTTTTTGCTTATTTTACTTATAATTTTAAGTATACTAAAGCTTTTGCGTAGCTTATAAGCTAGTTGCTTATTACTTAAAAGCTTTTTTAAAAGTTTTTTAGCATAAATATATTAGCTTAAGCTTAAAAATAGCACTAAAAAAAATTAACTTTATTTACTAGCGCTGTATTTATTAACAATAACAAAGCTTATAAATATTTTTTATAAGCAGCTTTAAAAGCATTATAAAGTTTATTATTAAGTAGCTATAAGCTATAAAAAGTATAAGCTAGCAAAAAATAAAGTTATATATTATTTAAGTAGTTTTAAGTTATAAACTTATTTTAAATAAAAAGGTTAACTTTATAATATAATTCTTAGCTTTAAAAAAATAAAAAAAACAAAGCAAAAATATTTACAAAAGCATAACTAACGTACTTATTAAAAATTAAAAATATAGCTTTTAAATTGTCTTTTTTTTATATCTTATAAGCTTAAAAAATAAATACTAATATTAGCTACTTTATAGCAATTTTATTGCTTGTTTACCTTTTTTTTAAGCAAATATAGTACTAATTTGCTATAATATAAAACTTTTTAATAAACTACTACTTTTAAAAGTCTTTTTTTAAAAAAATAATAGCTAGATTAAAAGCTATACTTGTTATAAAAATAGCTTTAATAAACAAAGTTTAGCTATAGCTTTAAAAGCTTTTTAAAATAGCTTTTTTACTTATAAAAAACTTTAAAACTAACAAATTATTTTTTAAAACTTAATAAGCTTAAAGATTAAAAAAAAAAAAAAGGTTTACTAACTAAAACTTACTATAATCTTTTCTTTATTTATATTATAAATATTTTTTAGCTTTACTTACTTTAAATCTTTATAGTAGTTAAAATACTAGTTTATAGCTTTTGCTATAAAGCTATTAAAACGCACTACTTTTTAACGTTTTTTTATTTTAATATAAATTTTTAAATTTTGCTTTTTAAAGCTAAAAATCTAATTTTTGCTAAAAAGCTTTTTATAGCTATTATTTTAAGCTATTTTAAAAACAATTGCATAAATAGCTAAGTATAATAAAGCTGTTCTAAGCCTTTTTTAGCATAATATTTACTTTATAACGTAGTTTTTTTACGTTTTTGTTAGCAATTTATAAAAATAAAATATTTTTTTTTAAAAATTTTGCTTAAAAAGCTTATAAGCAATAGTAAACTTTAAAATGCTATATTTTTTTATAAGCACTATTAAGCTTATATTATTATTAATATAGTTTAATATAATATTAGCTAACGCTTTTTTTATATAAAACAGTATTATAATAGCTTTATTTTTAATAAAGTTATTTATATTTAAAATAAAAAAGTAGGTTAGTAAATTATAAAAAATTTATATAAAATAACCTAACTTTATAAGCTAATTATACTATATTTTACATTTTTAACTTATTAGTAAGCTATATTATATAATAGCCTAATTAATAAACTATTTAACAGTATTTTTTAATTATAAATAGCTTTATTAATAAATAAAAACAGTATAAGTAAAAAGAGTGACTTTTATATAGGGTTACCTATCTCGCTATAGGGTGCGTCTCGCCAAGGGGTAGGGGATGGTAGCCCTATAGGACTTACCAGGAGGACAAAGTATATGTGACTTATTCCAGTGTTGAAGAGAGTAGTCCAATGTCTTATGACCATCAGGAGGGTTGGTACTGGTAGGTTACCTGCCAGTGGTTGGTGACGCTGTGTCTTTGTAAAGGCGACACGAAATCTACTAGAAGCAGCATAGGTACTGTAGAAACAAGATATATACCAACAGCCCCCAGAAGAATAACCAAAGCAGCTATCCTGAGAGGACTAGGCTTGACAGAGCCCCCTTCAATATAAAGTACCTTGTTTGGGACCTCTACATGTATAAGTAAGTATATATCTTAAGTATAGGTACATGTAAACAGGTTGTGTATCATATCTACTATTGTCTATAATGCAGTTGTGTGCAAGTATGGGTACATATATTACAAGACTCATCTCCTGTAAAGAACCTTGAAGTGAGTACTAAGTAACCTCTGCGGTATTTCACTTACAAACAACACATACCTACGTTCTACACCTACCACTTGATAGTAGACATAAAACCTATCTCTTGGTACGTTACCATCACGTCGACAAGACTGTGTACTTATCAGGATATAAACACCTTTTCTCTTGACTTTTGTAAACTCTTCTTTATCCCCAACACTACCACCACCATTCTCGGTACAACTCCCATCATCAGCACCGCCACCGCTACCACCATTACCACTTCTGCGATTACTATATTCTACCCTGCTCTGTTTCTACACGACGTCAATAGTAAGTTCTAATATTTTCCTTGTCATCTCTGTCTTGGTATCTGCAAACTCGGCTTGGCTTCCTTCTCGTGTCTGCCGTATTGCAGGACACGTTGCACTCACCCTACCCTCTTTCTACGACCTCTTCCATCATCAAATACAACACCCTGTCCACTTATACCCATCTTACATTTTATACATCAAACAACTGTCCTCAAACTACAGCTGCATCGCCGTTTTTTTCTCACAACTCCTCATATTGCACAGAAAACCACAATTCACCATGGGCATCACCTGGACCGGCGAGGCGGAACGCGACATGATGATCGCGGTCCAAATCGCCCAGAACGGCGATCAAGCCATCCCGGGAAAAGTCTGGGCCAAAGCCGCCGAGCTCATCAAAGACAAGTACCCCGACGCAACTGCATCTGCTCTCAGGTAAGTTCCATTGACCCTAACCCCTCTCCTCTGTAGTTTTGTCATTTGTCATTTTTCTAACTATGTGTATAAAAAGCCAGCGTTGGTCCAAGGTCATTCTCAAGGACTACAAAAAGAATTTCCCGAATGTCTTTGCCGACGAGGATATCCCGAGTAAAGGTTCGCCTGGGCCGAGTAAATCTGCAACACGCACTCCTACGCGTCGTGGGCGCCCCAAGAAGAATCCGTCTCTTCCCAAGGAAACTTCTGGTTCGGTCGGCAGCCCTACTGGTCCTTTTATTACCGATCTCGCGACTGCCAAAGGAGAGATGAAGCGTGAGTTCGACTTCGACAGTGACGAAGAACATGACGAGAAGAGAATCAAGACAGAGTAAAGGTGGGAGGAGAATGAATGAATGGATGACTTGTGGATCGGTGTAAGGGTACATGAACTGCGTTGGTTTTCTTTTCTCAGTCAGGACGGGATCGTGATGGAAGGGGAGGAATATGTTTCGATTGTCTTTTCATAGGGAGTTGAGATGGCAGATACGCCGTATCGAGGTAGCATTTTGAGCTACATTACAATGCTAGAACCGCGTTGTCTACCGTACTTTATCACCGTTGTCTTATTATACCGTACATATGTGACATAAAATACGGACTATTACCGCAAAGTCTAGATACGTTTGTCAGGCTTCCTGGCATATTGCATACAAATGTTGAAGTGTTATGATAGAAGCCTTGAAAACTAGAAGTTCTAGGATTTAAAAATAAAGTCCTTTATTTTATACTTGCTTTATAAAACAGTAACCTTTAAATAACTTATACCTTAAAAAACCTAAGCAAGTTTACTAATTAATGTTGGTTTTATAGCACTTTTTATATAATAAAGATA